AAAATGCATTAACGACTCATACTGAACTATTACAATTAAAGCCTAGACCAAACCATTAACTGGACCCTTCACCTTCTTTGATTATTATCGTTGAGTTGATGACATGGGTGGACACGGTTTCGTTGCCTAAGAAGAAAAGGAAAGCTTTGGAGGTCATTATTGTTACTACTGTATGGATGATGTAATGTTTTTAAGAACAATGTAGTCTTTCAAAAGTCGAAGTTTCCTATAAATGTTATTTTGGAGAGAATTGTTCACCAGTCGTTTGAGTGGTATACATCTAGGATTAAAAAACGTTCTATAATTTGGACTTTGTGGTTACAAAACTCAATGATCCACATTCCTTTGTAATTTGTTTTTCTAGCTCCCTACTAGTTGGTTTTTCTTAATCTTTTATTGTTAGAAAAAATAACCAACATAAGGCGCTCTACCCTTAACTCCTAAAGAAGCATGACCCCGGGATCAAATTAGCTTATATAAAGGGAAATTTTAGAAAGAGCCATTATCTTTTTAATATTTTATCTGAAAATCCATTACTTTACAAGTGACACTAACAATGATCAATATCAAGGTGGTTGAAAATATCAAATTCATTTCATTAAACAAGTTGGGTGTTGGTAATCAGATATCACTTGTCAAGGATCAGAAAGAGCTCTAATACCATTTTGTTGGAAATTTAACAAACAAGTTAAGTACTTCAGACAAAATAATAAAATAACTTTGGTAAAACATCTAAAAACTAAAATAAAAAAGAGTAAATTACAAGAATGGTCCTTATGGTTTAGGGTAATTTGCGTGTTTGGTCCATAATTTATTTTTTTTAACTCAGAAGGTCCCTACTGTTTCTTTTTTTTACGCGCTTGGTCCTTGTCTTACCTAACAATACTATTTTTCCCTTGATTTTTTAATTTATTTAAATAAACACACCCCCAACCCCACCCCCTCACCTTACCTTACCTACCCCACCAATTTTCCCTATTTAAATAATAGTCTTTTTAGGTAAGACAGGGACCAAACGCGTAACAAAAACAAATAGTAGGGACCAAGCGCGTAACAAAAACAAACCATAGGGACCTTCCGAGTTAAAAAAAAATAAGTTAGGGACCAAACACGCAAATTACCCCAAACCATAGGGACCATTCGTGTAATTTACTCAATAAAAAAACTGTACACAATATTTAACGTGGTTCGGTCAAAGTGATCTACGTCCACAGACGAGAGAGAGAGAGAGAGAGAGAGAGAGAGAGAGACGATTTTATTAAACTTCCAAAACCAATTATAGTCACTTGCAAAACTTACACCTCAGTTGAACTCTCAAACAAAATAAAATCTATTTCTCATAAACTACTCCAAATGATGTACTCTCAATGTCACAATGATTTGCTCTTTTGAAATTTTTATGCAAGAATATTGATGGAGAAGTGTGTCTATTTATAGACAATCATGAGAAACCTTAATTCTGATGGGTCATGCTTATCCATAATTATCACATGAAAGAAATGTCTGAATTGTCACCCAATCATAAAACTTCACACAACAACTTCCTCCTTCCTGACAATGTTTTCTGCCACCAAATAAAGTATTATGTTACATCAGAACTTTCTCTCACCAGCAAAACTTTTCCACCACCAAACAGAGTTTTGTCTCACCATCAAAAGTTTCAGCCACCAAATAGAGCTTTCTCTTCGTAGAAAACTTTGTAAACTCATCTTAAAACAAAGAACGTTACTCCCATCAGTTAGGTACAAAAAGGATGGCCTAAAGGGGTGTGCTAGATGAGCGATCACACAAACCTAAAGTCGTCAAGGGTCCAATTGTTTTTTCATACCTATATATATATATATATATATATATATATATATATATATATATATATATATTAATGTTATGGTTCACAAAAAAATCATACAATTAATGTAAAGTTTCAATATCAATTACAAGTAATTTTCGACTTTAAATCCTCAACTGTTTATGTTTTCTTAAGTATTATTGGTATAACAATTATGAATTTTGAATATATATTTAAAAAAAAATAAAATGTTTATTTTAACTCTTCACACATGATCTTTAATTAAGCACTCTAGATTGTATTTCCAAAATAAACTTCAATATACTACTTTAATATAGAGTTCAACACTGTAACTACTGTTGATTAGTTTTATATAAACAACTAGACGAATTCCCGCGCGTTGCGTAACGAAGATTAAAAATATATTGTTAAAATATTGAAAAATATATGTTTAAAATGGTTATGTTATTGACAT